GCGTTACAGGAACAAATTTAACCTTAACAGGTTTATGCTAACTTAAAAATGGAAGTAGTAGAGAAAGAACTAGAGTCTCGTTTCGTCAAACTTCACCTTCAGGTAAATCAATCATAATTATCCAAAATATTTGATGCTTACTTTAAAATCCATTTTTAATCGGTGCAGTCAGCGGGCACACGGCATGAACACTGTATGTTATTTGTAACGGATCACCAAGAATCGAGTTTTATATGCATTCGGAAACATCTTTTGACTATTAAACAGTTTTGGTTCAACCAAGGAGCACATCGGCATTGATTAAATCAAAATAAAATTTGGCCGCGTACGCTAATGTTTTCGATTTGTATGAAATAAGTGTTTTATTATCACCTCATCATATAGGCCTTTAATTATCCACTGCTGAAGATACGCTTCTCCCTTGGGGGGATTTTCCCAGTAGTTGCTATACTTGGCAGGCGGATTGGCGACCACAGTTAGGCTTTAGAGATGTTTTAAGAAAAACGCTGCTGCCCATCCCTCGCCCTCTCTTAGTCGCCTCTTACGAAACCCAGGGGAAAGGAAGGGGTAGCCTATTCTATGCCGGGACCACACGGCCAATATCACCTGATTGTTCATAATTAGTAACAATACATATTATTATGATTGCTAAAATTCTTCTTGTGAAAACAGAGTGAGAATACAGTGTCGCCGATTTCATACTAGACCTAAGACATCCTAAGAGATGAGAAGAGAAACTCAGTGTAACAGTTACATATGACCAAGAAAAACTCGAGTTATAACATATACTAGACTAAACCGCCTGGCTAAAGAAGACAAGGTGGCCAACAGTGAGATAAAGCTTGACTGTGATCCCTACAAAAGGTAATAAACTTTTTCTTCATTAAGATATTTAAAGACTGATGATGTAATGATGACTCCATTGTCTTGGCCATAGTTAAAATTATTAAGTGTTCTATTTGAATTGATAACAGTTAAAATGAATTATATTACTAACTAGTTGCCTGCTCTACATATATTATGTACGAATTTCAGGAGAACGAAAACTAATGACAAAAATCACTTCTAGTTATAGTATCAAAATAAAATATACATATTTTTTTTAATTAGACTTTTAAAAATACAACAGTGATAACCGTATTCAAAATGGTGCAGTAGTTATTTCGTAACGCCAGAACAAACATATAGACAGGCAAAATTTTCTGAAAACTATTGTTTTGACTCCTATTAAAGCCCCTTACGTATTTTATTAAATACCTTTCATATACAGACATTGCAATTTAGTCCTATTAGTAATTTTTTTTTATACCACTGAGGTGGCAAACAAGCATACGGCCCACCTGATGGTAAGCGGTTACCGTAGCCTATGAACACCTGTAATACCAGAGGTATTACGCGCGCGTTGCCGACCCTGAAGAAACCTCTTTACCCCCCCTTTTGAAGAACCCCATGCTGTAGTCTCTTCGGAAAACCTCGGCAGGGAGCTCATTCCACAACCTGAGTGTACAATAATAGATACAAATAGTAAGAATATGTTACTAAGATTTAGTGCGTAAAAGAAACAATAGATGCTTTTCTTTATTATTAATAATAATTTATAAATAATAAAAGATTTAATTTATTATAATCTATCTTCTTTTCAGAATCTATATAATGTACCTTGATAAAAAAATAGTAATCCTAATTCTTCAGTTATGAAGCCTAAATAAGCTTTCTTAGCAAATATATATTACACACTTATTGCTCATGAAATAAAAATCGATGAAAAATTTAGTAAGCACAGCATTTTGGTTAAGCTTGTTTGTTAGTTTGTAACACTTTATTATACAGTACAGTAAAGTCTTAAATTATAGGATACAGAGTTCTTGAGAAAAGAATGAGTACAATGGACTTATTCCATGAAAGGGATTTCCAGTCATTCTTTAAATGTCTGATAGAAATTGTGAATTGACATAAGATGTGTATTATAATCGCTATTTAAAATAGAAATTTATTTTTATTGATTACAATGTGTTTATCCAACTCATTTATAATAATGAAACTTAATAAAAATATTTGAGCGTTTGTTATAAAATTACATTTAAACGCCTGAATGGATTCGAATGAACTCTAGTAAACATGTATATACTCTGACAGTCCGATAGAATATTTATTAAACTAATGCATTGGGGACAAAGGGATTGCTTGAGGGAGACTAAAAATCCCATTGTTAGCAATATACCCAATCAGGTCGACCTCCTCGCGGTTCTCCCTGGAAACTATCATGGTTAATTTCTGATGAATTCATCATGATGGGCTAACTGGCCTGTTTTCATTCTAATCGATCACCCTTCCCTGGTACTCCGCCAGCGTAGCCTGTTAGCGCAGGCGGGGTTACCATTCCATTTTTACCCTTAAAAAAATACTAATGCATTACTGAGTTATATAACATAGCTAGTATTTATTAATTAATTTAATACACGTTCAATATTATGTTCAGTTAAAAACAAAAAAAGCTAAAACAAAGATATTAAAGTTAATATAGGTTCCCTATATTCGTGTTTCTACCGTGAAGCAGTTGTGTTTGCATGACTGTGTTTCGGTTTGAAGGGTGGGATATGACAGTGAGTTTACATAGTACAGAGTAATAACACCTGAGTCTTCAGGAATGACAACGCATGGAAGGTATCATGGGCGAAACAGTATACTCTGTTAAGTCCATGATACTGCTTAGTTAGCGACGGTTACTACTTTCCATCAGGTGGGCCGTAAACTTGTTTGCCGTTCTAAGTTGCATAAAAAACCTGTAGGAATCATTATTTTATAAATAGTAATAAATTGAATTTTACCAAATCTATTATAAAATATTAATAACACAAATATGTGTGGCAAAAAGAGGCAATGATTAATCTAAATAGATCGTGTGTTATTTAAAACAGAAGAAGAGTCATTGAAGTTCTCAATTAAGCACGAGATGAATTATGCTAAATAAATAATTGATTGAAGAAAAAATCTTTTGGCATTCGATTGTTTCTCTTAACTTTATAAGCAACGTGCCGTGAAGATAGTTATAGTAATACTGCGGGGAAAGGGATTGTTAGCAATGGAGTTTGACAGCCCAATTGCTAGCAATATGCCTTATTAGGTCGACCTCTACGTGGTTCTCCATGGAAACCATCGTAAAAAATTTTTGTTGAATTCGTCATGATGGGCTAACTGACCTACTTCATCCTCATCTATCATCCCTCATTGGTGCCCCGCCGGTGTATACTAATAGCGCGGGTGAGGCTTCCATTCCATTATCTTCCATTAAAAAAAAAAAGTTATAATAATACTTGAGACAATAACTCCTATACAAGAACTTATAGCAAAACAGACTATCTGCGTTGCTAGAAAACGAATTTTTATGATACGTTTAAGAAATATTTTAATTTGATTGTAATATTTTTAATAGTGAAATTATTTGAATTTATTAAATTAACCTGCGATGCCTCGGTGTTGCGGGTTATCATGGGCAGCGGTGGTCATTTACCATCAGGTGAGCCGCATGCTCGTTTGTTCCGTGTTATAAAAAAAAATGTAGTATACAGTGGGTATAATAAAACAACATAACTAACATTATTACTATTATTATTATTATATTACTATTTTTTTTATTTAATTAATGGAGAACTTCTTTCTTTCCTGCGGTTGTATTTTTTTAATGGATAACAATGGAATGGTATCCTCACCTGCACTAACGATATACCGTTAGCGCTGGCGAGACACCAGTCAGGGACGATAGGTGAGAACGAAAAGGCAGGTCAGTTAGTTCATCGTGATGAATACACCTGGAATTCAGCACGATGGTTTCCAGGGGAGACCACGTGGTGGTCGACCTGACAGGGTATATCGCTAGCAATGGGACAGGTAAGTAAAGCGGAGGCATTACTAGCAATCCCTTCGCAAAATTCGTAAGAAGGGACTAAGGGAACTTAATAGTCGAGAGATGAGCAACAGCGTCCCTTTTAAAATATTTTGTAAGTCTTCATTTATCTGAAAGGATATTTCAGATAAATGAAGAATTTTTTAAATCGGTTTATATCTGACGAAGTTATGAGGTAACAAACATAAAATAACTCTTTTTGAAGTCGAATGAAAATAGGCTATTAAAGTTGGCTAGCATAAGTTTCACCAATGAATGACGCATTATTATTTTCAATTCTCGCATAATATTATCATACATATTTGTCACTGACCTATTTATTATGTAATTATTTAGTTATTGGTGACTATTATATCATCAAATTTTAATACAGCTTCATTAGAATATTAGTTACATTAGAAGACTACGTCCAAAAATTTATCTTAGTCAATAAAAAAAAAAAAACACATTATTAGCTTTATTCGAGACAAACGTAGCATTAGCTAGTTTTAAAATTTTCTATATATCTTATTAATATTATAAAAGCGAAAATTTGAAGAATGAATGAATGGATATTTGTTACTCTTTCGCGCCAAAACCACTAAAGGGATTTAAATTAAATTCGAAACTCAGATAGGTTATATCCTAATTTAGCACATAGGCTATTTATGTACTGATTCACGCGAGCAAAGCTACGGTATCGGTATAGCTAGTTGTTTATAATTTCACCTATGGAGGACAGAAATACTAAAAATTAATAATCTAATCCGTATTAGACATACTACCTACTTATTGTTACAATAGCATAAAATGGAAGCATAAAGAAATTTAGTACGTATTTATATAAAAAACTGACATAGCTGAAACCATAAAATTTTACAATTGTCCTTAAACATTTACTATAATTTACTCTAATATTGTACATCATTCTCAATATATTAGATATTAACTGTCCACTGCTGAACATATATCTCCCCCTTAAGGGGGATTATACGTACTTAGTTTATATTAAAAGTTTATTCTCGTTAAGTTGGAATATTGAATTTTTTAACTTACACCTAAGAAGAAGTAGTAAGAAGTAAGTACTTCGAAGTCACATGAAATAAAACGAATCATCAAGTGAGATAATATTTGTTTTATTATTTACACGTATATCTAATGACTATCATTAATATTTACATGTCTATTGACTATTTGGTACGATCACGACTCATATCATTAGTTCACCAACAGCAATGCTTCTTCTTGTAATGAGTGACATGTTTAATAATGTGAATAGGGTATGGTTTCCAGATTGGCACCGGCACTTCTACGTGCTTCTCGATGGGCACTGGCACCTTCTTGATCACCTCATAGGGTTTTTCAACTGGCACTGGTACCTTTCTGATCACTTCAACGGGTACTTTCTTAATCACCTCATATGGAACTGGTCTTTCAACCTCTACGTGCTGCGTCTTGTATACGGGATACGGTACGTGTTTCACAACATCCACATGCACTGGGTAAGGCTGAGGTACAGGCACTTTAACTTCTTGAGGCACTGGAACTGGGACAGCATGTGGAACGGCGACCTTGACGTGGCGTGTCACTTCGATTGGGACGCGACGAACGACTTTCTGTACGACTTGCTCGAGTTCGTACTGTGAAGCGTGGGCGACCGGTCGTCCTACTTGTACTGAGGTGCCGATAACTCTTGGAGGTCCAATTGGTGCGCCACCTAATCCTGCACCTGCTCCGGAGAATCCACCAGCAAAGCCACCGCCAAAACCTGCACCTGCTAAAGATCCAGCTAGACCAGAGTTAAAACCGCCATCAGAATATGCAGCACCTGCAGCCGCAGATGAGTATCCAGAGTCAAAACCTGCCCCAGTTAAAGCACCAGCACCTGTAAACCCATGGCCGTGGTCATCATCTGAATATCCTGCGTCGACAGCGTTTGACCCATGACCACCCAGATCTCCAAAACTGGCACTGCTTACAGCAGGAGGACCGTACACAGTTGATGGCGTTCCATATGAAGCTGATGGGGCACTATGAGCTGAGGTTACGTATGAATCCTGGCCGTGATCACCAGACAATACTCCCGCATGAACGGCGCATGCGATAGCCGATATATAAAGTACCCTAACCTGCAACAAAAATTAAAAAATATTGATCAATTATATTTTTCAAAAAGATGTTCTTAATTGTATTTTTGCACGACATTTGCTAATTGTGAACTTATTCCAATAAATATTTCAATTGATCCAAACTCTTCATTTATACTAATTTCTTTAAATTTGGAATCTTTTCTCTTGTCTAAAAACAATATTGCTGTCATGAACTTACAACAAACGCCATGGCTTTTAGCTAATCGCTTTTAAAGCCAGCCCAAGACAAGCTCTTGTTTTCCCTTTCGAGGCCGAGTGGTTTGTGTATTCATAACGTAACATCGCCGTGTATTTATACCAAATCAAAGTTGTTCTTTCGATATAACGCATATGAATAATTTAAACCCAATTCTAACGGATGTCTCTGTAGCAAAACGTCACATCACATCTGCTAAAATGTACGATAATATGTAAATCTTTGGTCCCGATGCGATGACCGTTTTCTATGATTATGCAAGCGATTTAATTTCTTTATACACATAAAATGGTCGTTGGTTCAATGTTTGTGAACTTGCAGTTGTTGTAACATGTACAAATTTTGATCTTTATTTTCTAATAAATTATATTTCAACGGCAGTTGCTTCAATCGTGGGAAAATTAGAAATCGAAGCAGGGGAGACCCTTATAAATTGCAAAAGAGTCATCAATATTAGTTCAGAATTGTCAAATACATTTCATAACGTATATGCAAATAAGAAAAATTATGAGCCTCTCTGAACGTTACTCTTGATTGATATATTCTATTTATCAGTACCATTTGTTTATGAAGATTTTTTATCACACGTTACTGTGGATTCTATCGTGATTATATTTTCATCATTTATTCATCATTACTGCTCTTGGTTTCTGTAAGAAATTAAAATAACAAACTTTATGTCGTTGGTTTTTTTTAAAGTCGTCATCATTATCATCAAATCAGCCGTTAACTATCCACAACTGAATATAGACCTTCCCGAGGAGACCAAAAACCTTTTGCCAGAAATCGCCTTCCTTGACATGCGGATTTGCAACCATAGGTACGCTTTTGGGATGTTTTGAGATGTACGCTGCTGCCCATCTTTTGACTACTAAGTTCCCTAAGTCGCCCCTTACAATATCCACGTGAAAGAGGAAAAGAGTAAGAAAGTTTTATAAGAGTATTCTTTATTACTCACCAATGTAACCAACACCGTTAGAAGTAACAATGCATGAAGTGATATTCAAATTACATTGTGATCTTTGTTTTCCATGCCTATAATCTTTACCTAAATGAGATTTAAGTAATCAGGTGTATTTATAGTAATCCAAAAACAGCAAATAATAGTTGACTTTTATTGTCAGGGTTAAATCACTCGAAAGCTCTAAATAAGAGGCTTTCTGAAAATTACTCAAAGAAATTATGTCTCTTGAGTAAAAATAATATTTATGTATTAACAAGGGCTCTCATTGGACGCTACAAGTTATGCACATGTCCTAACTAGGTATATACCTGAGGGGAAAAGGATTGTTAGTAAAGAAGACTGAGAATCCCATTGCTAGCAATATACCCAACCAGGTCGACCTCGTCGCGGTTCCCACTGGAAACTATCATGTTTAATTCCTGATGAATTCATCATGATGGGCTAACTGGCCTGTTTTCATTCTCATCTATTATCCTTCACTGGTGCTCCGCTAGCGTATCCCGTTAGCGCAGGCGGGGCTATCATACCATTTTCACTCATCAAAAAAAAAAAAAAACTAGGTATATACGTAAAAATTGTTTGCAGATTTTATTGCAGTCAGGAGGAAATTCCAAAGTATTATGTAATTTGTAGCTGCAGTCCACTCATATATAAACGATATATCTCCTTTGGAAAATGCACTTTATATCCTGAAGAGGTGAAAGACATCGTTGCTAAGAGCAGCTTAAAATACCTATCACTGACAAAAATCGGCAGCCTACTTAATAAAGAGCAAACACAAAAATCACGGAGGTCGCAGTATTACAGGTCTGAAAAAGTCTGAAAAAGCATATATAGTAATCAAAATAGTGTGTGTGTAGTAACAATATTTTACAACATAGTGGTTCGAAAATTTCTGTTGCGTCTCATTTAGTAACTGTAAATGTGGGAAGGTTCAAGGTTTATAGTCCTTAGTGTTACTTCATTCGTTCATAGTTTTATAAAAAATAGTATACTTATTAACAGTCAATGAATGAAAATTATTGATAGGGATTAGTACAGATAAGAATTACTAATATATTCTAATCAAGCGATCTATTTATTTGTTTTTTAAATAATTATAATTAAACAAATATACCAGTTAACACAAATTAAATTATAGTATTTTAATCAAGCGATCCATTTATTTATTTTTTAAATAATTATAATTAAACAAATATACCAGTTAACACAAATTAAATTAAAGTATTTAATTCAAGCGATCCATTTATTTATTTTTTAAATAATTATAATTAAACAAATATACCAGTTAACACAAATTAAATTAAAGTATTTTAATCAAGCGACGCATTTATTTGCTGCTTTTTTAATAATTCTAATTAAAAATAACAGTTAACACAAATTGAAATATTCTAATAAACGATCCATTTATTTGATGTTTTTTTTAATAATTCCAATTAAACAAAAATCTATCAGTTAACACAAATTAAAATAAAATATTCTAATCAAGCGATGCATTTATTTGTTTTTTAAATAATTCTAATTAAACAAATATACTAGTTAACACAAATTTAAATCAGTCACAAACTTGACATAATAACCTACACAATTATAAAATTTTAGTTTCCGTTAAAATTCGTTTAGTTATCTTCTCGTGATGATGTAACAAATAGTGAGATATTAATCAAAACATTCTGGTTTAGGTATTATTTCTTATTTATAACTTCCTATAGCTCATAGCTTCTTATGTGACAGAACTTGTAACCCTTGCCATTTTTATATTAAAAATGAATGAATGAATTAAAACTACTTATTGCTGCCTTCCGCCGGTTGGTCCCGGCATAGAATATGTCACCTCTTCATTTCCCGTGGGTGTCGTAAGAGCTCACTAAGGGAGGGCGAGGGATGGATAGCAGTGCCCCTTACAAAACATCCAAAACTCCAAAGCCAAACTGCGGTTGCCAATCCGCCTGTCAAACGTCGCAACTACTAGAAAACCCCCCAGGGGGAGGCTTCTGTTTAGTGGACAGTTAAAGGCTGATATGATGTTAATTGTTAGATTATTTACTAAATTCTAGATACAAAGTCATGGTATAAAAGAAACAAGTCGTAAGCCTTACGGCTTTACTACATACCGCTATCAGCAACATTTATATAAGTTATTTAAAACTACAAGACATTAACAAACGATAGATATTAATTTGGTATGTTAACTGTGTTGTCCTTCACCGGGGAATTAGTCGAAAATTTGATTTGACAAACTAGTTTTAGTGTCATCAAAAACAACAAAACAATCAAACGACAAACGCTTGTTTCGTTTGTCGTTTGTTTGTTTTGTTATTTTAGTAATTAGAGATTGTTTTCCACAAAAGAAAAGCAACTTCAATTGTGGCAAAACCATTTATTTTCATTTAAAAACTAAACTATTGAAACCACTTTGATAAAATTTCTATTGAACCAATCTGGATGCAAATCCTTGTAGATAAAAAATAATTTGCCAATTCCAAATAACTGAGTTATGAGGTAACAAACATAAAAAAAATACAACCGAATTGAGAACCTACTTCTTTTTAAAATCATTTGAAAATCACTAATTTTATTTAAAAGTGTATTTCTAATGGTATCTGTTATTTATTTAAAATATAATATCAAATGGAGGCGAATGTAATGGACACACACAATGCATTTTATTTATATTTCTTTTTATTATTATTTTTAATAAGGAATTTCGCAACTGACTCTTGGCCACAACAGAATATCAGTGTTTTGCTCTTTTAAGGGCAAAGCAATAAACTGAGATGTGACCATTTTGTGATAGAAAGGGAAAGAAAGGAAATTGTTGGTTTAAATATTTTGCTTTTTTTTTTGTTTTGTTGCTTTTTTATTTTCATTCTTTTATCTCTTTTACTGTGTATTTTTTGTTAGATGAAAATGGTATGGCAACCCCGCCTGCGCTAACGGGATACGCTGGCGGAGCACCAGTGAAGGGTGATAGATGAGAATGAAAACAGGCCAGTTAGCCTATCATGATAAATTCATCAGGAACTAACCATGATAGTTTCCAGGGGGAACCGCGTGGAGGTCGACCTGGTTAGGTATATTGCTAGCAATAGGATTTTTAGTCTCCATTACTAACAATCCCTTTCCCCCCATTTACTGTGTATTAGGTATGTGTATTTTTTATTGTAATTTGTGTGCTGTAAGTAATGTAAATAAATTATCTATCTATCTATCTGTCTATTTCCTTGATAATTTCAACAAAATTATTTTCCATTAAGTTTTAAACATATAATAGATACAAAAAGTAATATTTTACATATCTTAATATATATTTTAGAGACCATTTAATAATATTAATTAATTATGAAATAATATTAGGCAATATAACCGGCAGTAGCCTAAATTACATCTTTTCTATATTCATTTGAGCAATACTTATGTAATATCAACCATCCCTTTAGATTAACACAAATTTGTTATTCTAATAAAAACGCTATCTGGTTTCTCCATTTAATTTCTCCACTTCGGTAGGGATTTATATGCAAACGATGAATATATGTACACTATAATTTCGGCACAAATTGTTTTATCATAAATTTATCATAAATTCTAGCTTTTATCGTTAACCTTGTCCGTATGTCTGAGATATGATCGCTGACTGGGATAAGAGGAGTCAATATCGATTTCCTTGACATATATGTAATATATTATACTAAAATATAAATAGTTTTATTTTTTATACCGCCATCGAGTATCCCTGCACATCTTAAAGGTTCTTTAAAAGGGGGGTAAAGGGGTTTCTTCAGGTTCGGCAACGCACGCGTAATACCTCTGGTGTTGCAGCTGTTCATAGGCTACGGTAACCACTTACCATCCGGTGGGCCGTATGCTTGCTTGCCACCTCAGTGGTATAAAAAAAATGTTAAATATTTTTCCCATAAAGGGATCTCTGTATGTAATTTATGTGTTTTTTTTTCAAATACTTTGGCTTAGAATTGTGCAGTGTAAATCTTCAATATCTTTATTTATTCAGCAGAGATTTTTAAGTCCTTAATGTTTTTCCATGGAATGTAACTATATATAGCGCATATTGTAATTGTAGACTTTTTATTATATTACCTATATATATTATTATTATAAAATTAAAGTCTTGGGTTATGTCTTATTGGACATAAAAAGCCTGAGAAGATAAGACAAATAAAAAGCAAATTTTATTCTCAGACAAAAGTGCTTCATCTGCAAAGGCCAATTGGGTATTACTCTATAAAATTTTTGGATACTAAAGTTATCCCTTGATCATTTTAATGAAATTGGATATATCTTCAATTTTATAATTTTAGTTTCTTTGCATATTCTTAGATTCAGATTCTTTATTTGCATTAAACATGGTTACATTAGATGATCGGTAGTGTATACTTCGAAGAACATATTTCATCAAAGTCTGCAGACCAAAGTATGCGGATATCGAGAAAAATAAGAGATTAGATAAGAATGAAAACAATGGGAATGGCATCCCATGACAATAGATTCTGCAGAGTTTCTGTTAACCATCTTACATCAGTTTGTTTGTCATTTCTCAAAATTCAAAATTAACAATTGGGTACTATTTCAGTGGTCATACGACCATTAAAAAATATTTATGCATAAGCATAAATATTTTTTGTACTACTTATATTTGCTACTTCTATTATTGTAATTTAATATATTCTTCTACAAAACAAAAACTATACCACTACAGACAAAATAAATATCGAATAAATGTCATCATCAAAATCGATTCAGAACAAGCAAAGATGTCATGAAATAAAAAACTCTTCCTTTTTTATGTCGACTAAAAATTTATTATATATAAGCATAGATTTTTAATATATAGTGCTATTATAGATATATATAGAATAAGGTATAAAATACCAATGGATTTCTATTTTTTCTAAGTCAATAAATGTAGATATTTAAAAAAAATCATTACTATAATGATATATAATCGTACATAACTGACTTAGTTTAGATATATGTATTACATTACATTTAAAAAATCAAGTAAAGTTTAATATCATCATCATTATTTCAGTCATTGTCTGTCCACTATTAAAAATAGGCCTCCACTATAGACTATAAGGGACGGTCTTGAGCAACCTGCATCCACTTTTTTACCTGCGACTTCATTCGCGTAACCGGGATATATTTATTGACCAGAATAAAAAAAGTTGCTTATATCCTTCTCATCCCACATAATATATGTATACTAAATTTCGTAGTAATTGGTTTAGCCGTTAAGGCGCTATAAGGTAACAAACAAATAAACTCATTTTCCGATTCATAACGTCAGTAAGGATCAGTCTCACTACAGCCCAAAAACATTATGTCGAGGTAATAAATAAAATCAAACAAATCTTTGGGAAATCGTTTTAATAAAGTAATAGAACCTATATTACTATTTACAAAACGAATAGAAATCATAAAAAAAAAACATATACACCTAAATTAATGACTTAGTTTAACACCCTAGATTGCAGCCTCGCGATGAGCTAATTGGCGAAGTGTATTTACAAAAGACCGGGACTAGGTATGAAAGAATATTGAATGTATTTCCTATAATTTACCAGCCCTTCCATCCGTGGTGGTGATGGTGAGTGTGGACTTTATGGTGGAGCGTCTTCACTACCGGTACTGGGTACGACTTCACAACATGGACTGGAACCTTAACCAGTTTAACCACTGGCACTTCGACGACTTTCTCAATTGGAACTGGATGTTCCACTGGTACTTCGACTACTCTTTCAACGGGTACTTTGACGATCTTTTCCACTGGGTAAGGGACAGGCTTGTCGACTTTGACGTGCTGGATCTTGACTACTGGTACTGGTACGTTTCTTACCACTGGAACCTTAACGGGGTAAGGCTGTGGTACAGGCACCTTCACTGGATGAGGTACAGGCACAGGCACAGGTTCAGCTACCTTGTGTGTTACTTCCCTGAATACTTTGTAAGGCTCTTCTCTGACGCGGTATTGTGTCGGGGCTCCTCTACTATTAGCAAGACCGTGGATTTCATCGATAACAGGTGATTTAGGTCCTGGTAGAGGAGCTGATCCGCCGGCACCAGCGACGCCAAAACCACCTACGGCTCCTACGCCTAAACCGCCAGCGAATCCTACGCCGTGTCCACCTGATGAGAAAGCACCACCCACACCTCCATATGAGAAGCCACTGTGGGCACTGCCTATACTAGATCCGTGGTAAGAAGCTGATGGAAGAGATCCGGCGGGAAAACTGCTAGGAGAGAAGCTCGATGTAGCACCCAAGGCACTAGGTGCGCTGAAACCACCAACTGATGCAGAAGAATAGCTCGACCCGTGATCGACATCACCCACATCATCATGCCCGTGTAAAACGCCAGCGTGACTGTAGCTCACGAGGACTGCCAAGAATGTTAACTTTGTCTGTAACAAAAACATATTCGAGTTTAGTCTATGACGATTCCATTTTCAAAATTTGGAAATGGAATGTTTTTATCATCGATACTTACAAAAGCAGCCATTTCGATTAGCTAATCGCTGGCTACCAAGTGAACTTGTTTCCTCAACAACAAGCCACGCTTGTTTGTGTGGCATCGTACCTTTTCTTCATATTTATATCGGTGTCATTCGCAAGCTACAAACTGTGACAATATTGAGAACGAGAGTGTTTTGACTGGTTTTAGATATGCCCATCTTTTTCTAACGGAACCAAACGTGAATTAATTCAACGTTATGTTACTTAATAGTTATAGCTATGAAGGAATAAGGGGCACCAATGATGATACTGTAACGATTTCCTAATAAGTTACGAATGGTGTTTAATATGGAAATGGGTCTAAAAACCCATATAGGAGAAATTACAAAAGGTCATATAGATTGACAGTACATAAATTAATGATAAATATCATCTTACACATTTGCCAGATAGTTATGGGATAGTTATAGTACGTCAACTATTATTTCATTCCCAAAATGTCATAGAAACAAATAAATAGGCATGGGCAATATTGGTACAGTACCGATATCTATGGATTGAGTATGTCTAGAAGTCTAGACATTTCTGGCAGAAAAAAAGGTCTTATTAATATTGCCCATTCATGGCCCATAATTACCTATCGGATATCTATAGTAATATTGATTGGGCTCTTCATGTCGATTTTATATATTGAATAACTAATATTTATATATCGTTATGGGGGGTATATAGGCGAAACTATAATATATGTGTAGTATATGTTATATATTTTACTATATCTATAGGCGACAAGTTAAAACTTTCCATCAGGTGGGCCGTCACCTTGTTTGCCATTCTAAGTTGTAAAAAATAAAAAAACTAATATTTAATAATATATCCGTCACTGGGTCAATATATAAATATTATAACTAAATATATATATATATATATATATATATATATATATATATATATATATATATATATATATAATATAATAATCGGTTCAGTAGTTAAGTTCTTAATTCAAAATAAACTGTTTTTTTTTTTTTCACAATTGAAGTCAGTTTTTTTTTGTGGGACTCGATATCAATAAATGTAATAATTTTAAATATACTAAGTGACTGCTTCACTTGCAAAAGATGACTAAAACCTACTTTTAAGTGTTTTATATTTTGAATATTATATTTATAATTTCCATGAATAAAAAAATCTATAAAGTAATGCTAGTAAACAGGCGTATAATATAGACTATGTATAGAATACCAAGTCTACTTAACTTAGTGGTAAAGCATGTAAAATCGGTAAAGCGTTAAATATAATAAACCATAGACAATATATGTTATCTGTATGTTTAATGTAATATGGACATAGTAACACATTCATTATTATTTCAAATACCCATGTTTATCTATAAAAATTTACTTCTGCATAGACTGTCAGAAAGTATGGCCTTTCGGGATAAACAGATGCCACTAGCTCAGACCACACGCATCCATTGACTTTGTCGCTACCTCATCATTGCTATGTCAGCCATTATCCATTTACTGTTAAATATAAAACTGTCCCATAGACTGCCATAAAGAATGGTCCTGAACCACCTGTATCCGTTGACTTATTGAACAAATTCTACCCTTCATTTACCTGAATGAAGTCAGCATTCGAGAATTTGTTATCGATTCGACATTTTAGGTCTTTATTGCCTTATTGCCATTTTAGCTTGCACATCCTTTGAACTACTTTAGTAATTATCTACAATGGAGCAACCTCTAAATATAATTTACAAATAACACAAACTTCTTTCTATAAATATCTTTTTTAAAATTTTATCAATCCTTTAAAATATTCAAGTCATCATAAAAATATTTCGATGTTTGCATTACATGTAAATGACACAAGACGACTAAAAAACGAGTTTCATAATTTCATCCATTCATTAATATCTCCAGCGAAATATTGTCAGATCAGGTATGGTGCCGTTGCGATCAGAAAGCGAATCGCACGCAATCCAACTGCGAGACAAACGCTTTATATTAGCTCGACATATGCGAGATAATTAGAACAATTATTCACAAGAACTGTTATTATTATTTATCGATTTTTTAAAAGAAAATGGAATCAATATTTAATCGATACTTCGATGAATACAAAAAATCAATACAGATATAGACGAAGACGGACAAACATTACATTTAATTATTCATATATCACTGACATTTACTGTTAGTGACAGACAAAAATATACTAATAATAAATACTAACTTGCCAATAGTTTCCACGCTTGGCAGGCGGATTGGTAACCGCAGTTAGCCATCTCTCGGCCATTAATTTCCTTTAGTCGCCTCTTACCACACCCACGGGATAAGAAGGAATGGTCGATTCTACCCGAGATCACACGACGACTAACACCTAATTCAGTAAAATATAAAAATATTTTGTTACAACTTTATTTTTGCAACTATAACAATGTATTAACAATAATAAATTGTTTACTAAAAGTAAGGTTGGTAGATAAGTACTGTTACTGAGAATAGGTACACTCAACAACAAAAATGGGCCCGACTCTGAGGTGTCTTTCTTATAATTTCGCAAAATTACTGTTTTATTTACTGTCATATATAACTAGATTTATAATAATTTTAAATTAAATCTATTAAAAAATACAATTCATATTTGTCTTCACAGTAAAGATTACGTTGTGATATTCAAAAATAGATTTTTTGTAGAAACAGATTTAGAGACATGACTCAGAATCGATCCCGATATCAAATAATGACACTTATCACAAAATAACAATGTAATAAACAACCAACAATTAAATATTTACACCTTAATCGTACATTTAAGATTTGTAAATAACATAAAATAAGTATTCAGGTACCTTAAAACTATAATTATTATTTACAACACTATATTAACTTATATAAAACGCACAGAAAATTTTCAAAAACACAACCTATTAGTTAACTGTATATTTTGCAGTGACTGCAATTTTATTTCCTTGAAATTTTTTATAGGTAAATGCCATATTTTTATGTAACATCATAAGAATAAAGACTAGATAGAAATAACTCTCTCTCTTGAGGTCCTCGCAATATGTCTCCATCTACTTCAGTTCGCTATAGAAATATTTATTCCACCCCAATTTATTTATTCTTATGGTATTACATATACACTTACAATAATATATGTATTTGAAACAGCTATCCCAAGTATTTAGATGATAAAATTGTTGTTTTATAACAACAATTAAGTTATATTAAATGTAATAAAAAAAGATATATACCAGGGCCTCTAGACAAGTGGCAAGCGAATTCGTCGACGGAATCGACATCGCTAGCGAGTCCGTGAGTTGGAATGAGTCACCCGGCATTGCTATCTCATTCTATCTCACGGATTCGCTAGCGATGTCGATTCCATCGATGAATTCGCTTGCCACTTGTCTAGAGGCCCAGGTAAAGCATAGATTAATTTATCAAATAATATTATACATCTTCATCTTCATTATTTACAACATCGGCTTTTGCCTCTGCGATTGGAGTAGGTGGTCTTAACACAGTTGATACCTGAGTATCTTTATCCTCGATATCAGCTCCAGCCTCGAATAATGGTTCAGATTTCATAAACCGTGGATTTAATGGCTTGTTCACACGTCGCCTACGTGAATATTTGTCATATTTACCGCGCCCACGTCTATTTCTAGTCTGAGGAGGGGGCTTTAATAAAGGATATGGTTCGTTAATATCTGATTTAGGATATTTTCTCTGATACGAATGACGCCCCGTAACAAGTGCATTTGGATGCCTATGTCCTATTCTGTGGCCTGAATTAAATTCTTTTTTTGGCTTATCTTCAAAATTATTCATCTGATTGTCTTGAGCAGTTATATCTGATAACGTACTTGCTTCGCTGTCACTTGATATGTCATCTATTTGTTCTATAACAGCACCAATTGGATGAGTATTTGAGGAGTCTGCAATTGGAATAATACTTTCTTCTTCTTCTTGACTACGAGAATATTTCACACCTTGATAAGGAAATCGCCCAGAATTATAAATATCTAAATATGGGCTAGCAAATGCACCAAGACCATCATTTAATGCAGCATAATTTGGATTGTTATCATTTTTTAAAAGCAGTTGTTGTAATTGGGATATATCCAGTTTAAGTGGTACAGTTTTACTAAACTGATCTCTTAAAGATAACATTTGGGTATCATCTATAGCTGGTTTTCCTTTTAACATTTCTGCCACTAATTTTAAGTCGACATTGAATGGGTTAGCCACTTTAAAGCCATTAATTGTAGATAATAAACCACCGGCTTGCGAATCAAGTTCAGGTCCGTTAAGCTTGACAGTAGGTTGTTTGTTTAGAATTAATTTATTAAGTATACTTGTTGCTACATCTAATTGATGACTTCCAACGTTTTGATTTATTCTCATTGGCAAAGATGTAGGTATAACAGATTGTTCGAAATTATTATTATGAAGTCGTAATGTATCACCTTCAGTTAAACCTGAAGCGAATCTATAGGGAATATCATTCAATTTAAAAATATTTGAAACATCAGATGTAATTTGATTATTTAAAGGACGCTGTAAAGTTTGTTGTTGGATATTTGCAGAAGATTGAAGGTTTTGTTGAAAATTATTATTTGGTGAATTAAGTGAAGATGCTTCTAAATAACGTTTATTATCTGATACACTTCCCTGATTATATGTGGGTTCTTGCAATTGTTGCTGTTTAGCATAAAACGCATTAAGATCTAGTTGTTTATTCTCATTTGTTATAAGATCTTCTGGTTTAGTTTTAATATTGAAACCGTAAATTAAGTTTTTATCTTTGTAATATGCATCAGTGACAGATCTGTAGTATTGTTTTAAATTTTGCTCCAACTGATTATCTTTTCCGTAATTCATTAAATTCTGTCTGTTATTGTTATTATTATTTGCTACGGCCATTGCTTTTGATTGAGAATCTGAATTTGAAACTACGTTTGATACATCAATAGATACAATATTTTTTAAAGCTTTGTCATGATCAAATGGTTGCTTTGTTTTAGCATCTATATTATTTTCCTTTGAATTTGCATAGTAATAAGGCGAAGCAGTAATTAAATCAGTTTGAAAATTATTATACGCGTATAGATTTGGATTCTCCCCATATTTATTATTTTGTTTATCATTATATAGAGGCCCAGGTGTAACAGTACCTAATATATTATTGTTATTATAATTATTTTGTAAATTATTGCCGTACAATTGTTGCTGCTGTTGTTGTCTTTCATGAGCTTTTGCAGCTGCTTTTGCAAATTCCTGTGCATCTAAATTTTCAGACGCAGACTTGGATGTCTCATAGGTGTTAGGTTTACCTGTATCCATGTGGAAACTGAATTGACTTATAGCTGAACCTGGTGAAGGTTGCAAGGGAAATTGATACCTTCCATAATTTCCAGGTGTATAGCTATCAGGCGATTTTTTGTTAGAAAGCTTCCAGCCATAATCTCCATGAGAATAAATTGAAGTTTGGCCTGTTTCTTGTTCTGTATCCCTAGGACGAGCTCTTAAATTATTTAATTGATATTCTGGCGGTACAACGTTCAAAAACATTGTATTGGCTTCTGCCATATTACCATTACGATGCGTTTCACTATTAATATTTTCAGTTCTTTCAGAATTTGTTCTTGTCTCTTGTTGGTTGTTGTTATAAGGATAATTCTGGTATTGTGTCAATGACATATCTTGTAAAGACTTTGACAAAGTATTTGAGGCCGTATTTGAACTTTGCCAAGAATCGGGATTTAAATTAGAGTAAGACGATGAAGAAGGATTCGAAGTAGAATATGATTGTTCACTTTGATATTGCTGATGTATATTAATAGGATATTTGATTCCGGAGTTATCATAATTATAAGAATTACTGGCGACAGTTGAAACTCTGTTACTGTAATCAGGTGATCCACTTTGAATATCTGTCATTGGAGAAGAAATATAATGTTGGAAATTGGGAGGGCTAGAAAGATACATTGGCGATGAACTGGAAATGTATGTACTAGACTGTGTACCCACAAACTGATTATTTGGGACCGATGTTGATAATTGAGAATGAACAGGAGATGGTGAACTTTGGACACTATCTAAATATGAATTACCGCCGTACTGATAGGTATTTGTATTTTGATAATAAGGTTGATTATGAGATGTTTTGGGTTCAAGTTGCTGAATTTGATTGGATACTTGATTACTGTTATCATAATTAGGAGAAATCGTTGAATACTGATAAGATGGCTGCGGTGTTGCAGTGTACCCCGAATTTGGAACTGGAGTAGATTGCTGCTGTTGCTGATAGTACTGATTTTCCCTCATCTGTTGAAGAAATTCTTCAGGCGGTAACGAATACTGCATGGCTGCATACTGGTTACTAGCTGCAGTGCCGCTGTCTTGCATTTCAGTATTAACTTCGTGCATCTCACTATCTTGATTCTGGAATGGATTTTTTATATGATACACTTTTCTACTTCGGGCACGATCAGCTCTATTATATTCTTCATTCATTTCTTGATCCCCCATATTGTACTGTCCATTCAGCGAACTGATAGATTGGCTATTTGGATCTCTTTGCATGACATTAGTATTATAATTGGGAATAGTATCGATATGTCCATCATTGGAAGCCATGGCTTGGAGACGAAGTAAATCTTGTTCGCTATATCCATCTTGACAGCGGGCGTATCTGATGACTTGTATAATGACTAGTATCCGTATCTGAAAAAAAGAATGTACAATGAATATTCTAAAATCTTAAAAGTTTTGTTCACAATTGAAAATGAATTTCTAGATATATTAAATTTTATAAATATTTCTATTAACTCCAATCATTTACACAAACGTTGATAATCTTATTATAATGAAGATAAAAATAAAAATATAGAAAATAAAATGCAAGCGATAAGGCTACTTTGAATATGGGGAATAGATTAATTGGATACCGCATAACGTGTTTTTCTAGAATTTTATAACGTAAGTACTATACAAAGTTTCTCTTACCCCAAGTATGAAACTATCACGGATAATTCCTAAGGTAAAGATAAGAAAATGTCCGGTAGTGGTCCTATTATAAAAAATTTAATGCCTTTACAAAATAATTACGACAAAAACTTGCTGAGGCCATTATTTTTAAGAATTTAGGTCAGTATTTTTTATCTAATTGTGTTTTATTTCTTGTATATATTGTTTAAAAAATAATTATATAATATTTTCAAATATTTCTTTAAAAATTGACAGTTTTAAGATAGTGCTTATTAATTAACAAAATTATTGATGGAGAAATTATACAGTTATATCAATTAAGACATAAGACATAAATCAATGCCAGTTCTTAATACAAGCATCATTTAGGAAGGTGCTTTTCCATCAAATCCTATGACTCATCTATTTATCCTGTATCCAATTTATCAGAGGGAGACTTTGTGCAAAAGTCGTTTGCTTGGACACGTCTGTCCCATTCGTGAATTTACTGTGAAGCAATTATGTTTGCATGGCTGTGTTTCGATTTGAAGGGTGGGATATGGCAGTAAAATAGGCTACAAAGGAATAACACCGGAGTCCTTAGGAATGGCAACGCATGGGGGGCATCATGGGCGAAACTCTGTTATATCCATGGTACTGTTCATGTCTATAGGCGACGGTTGCCACTTTCCATCAGGTGGGCCGTCAGCTTGTTTGCCATTCTAAGTTGCATAAACAAAAGACTCTTTACGAACAAGTAACTCGTAGACTGCACGGTGAGCACTTGGAATGTGAAGCGACAGTGACATTTATGTGAGTGTTGCCAGTCGTGAAATGTACCGGTCATTGTAACATGGTAACTTTATAAAGTCAATGTAACATTTGAATAACCTGTTAAGTGATATAATATGAGATAATTTACAATAAATTTATTATATTAATGATATGAATATTTATTTGCCAAAACATTTTTACATGGATGATTGACTCTACTACACACTAGGCTTGCAAGCCAGTATCGTGAAATACAAAAATGCAATTTAGCCATGGTAGTATATTAAATGCTCGGTTGATATATAAATTTATATATATTGACATAAAAATTTAATATTAAAATAAATTGTTTATATTTTTTTTCTGGCAATGTTAATTTTTCTTTTTCTTCTTTTTTCTTTGTTATATAAATTTTTTTTTGTGTCAATTATTTAATTTTTTGTTAATTAACAAGTCTACACATAAAACGTCGTGTGCTATAAATTGTTGGTTCAATAAACTACTATATTAATATTAAAATAAGCCTTTTCTCTAACAATGCTTTCAAACCAAAACTGCCATGCAATCACAATTGTTTGGATAAACAAGAAAGAGACAAAGTTATCTGTGCAAATGATTTTTGCACAATATTTGCCTCAGTAAACTCACTAGCTTAGGCTTAAATTTCTTTTTACAGTGTATAAAAAATATGAAATATCTGAATACTTTCGAGATGCAGAAAAACATGAATGTAAGGAGGCAATGACATATGTGTCGCGAGCCGTGAAACCAAGCCATGTTTCGTGTTGTTAAGATTGATAGCTGCGTAATATCGCGATCTCTTACAAAGTTAGCGTTTTATTATCCAACCGGCTCATACACTCTCAGTTTTTTACTCATCCATATATATACATAAATTAAATAATAGGTACATATTAATTTTATGGCCGTTGCGAATTGATTAATAGACATGATGGCATAACTTATTCTCGATTTTACTAATTTTCCTATATTTTTTTCCGTTAACTACTTCCGTTTATGTGCCTTACACAAATGTTATACTCAAAAATATTTTATATTAAAAAAATGACAATTTTCTTAAGACAAAAAGTAAATAGAGTTCATTATTTGTTTTGTGAAAGTGCAAGAGAATGCACTTGTTAGGAAAAAAAACACATGGATTTTTTATGCAACTTAGAATGGTAAACAAGCTAACAACCCACCTGATGCAGTGGTAACCGTCGCCTATAGACATGAACAGTACCATCGACATAACAGAGTATACTGTTTCGCCCACGATACCCTCCATGCGTTGCCATTCTTGAGGACTACGGTGTTATTTCTCTGTACCCTGTAAATTTACTGCCATATCCCACCTTTCAAACTGAAACACAGCCATGCAAACACAACTGCTTCACGGTAGAAGCATGAATAGGATAAAGCTGCCCAAGCAAACAACTTTTGTTTATATTCTCCCTCTGGTAGTCTTATTATTTATTTATTTCTTACTGCATTTCATAATGTCATTGTCAGATATTGAAACATCTCTAAATATGGGCACTGTGGCGCACAGCAAGTAGGAGAGTGGAGGATAACCTTTTTTTACTTTAGGAATAATTAATAACTTTATTACAATATTATTAAATTGTTGAAATTATTTCACAATAGGAATGTATTTTCTGTGTTATTATTATTCATTATTTAAGTATTGATATATATTGATTCATAGTAAAAATATTTATTATTAGTACTATCCATAATAACTTAAAGTCCATTTATAAAGAATTTAATGATAAAATTACAGCAGCGTCGGTTTTAGCATTGTCTTAAATTATTATTAATTTATAATTAATTATTTGTTTTATAGATAAGAAGATAAATTCTGTTTGCCATTCAAATATTCTTTAGTAGTATAGTAAAATTTATTGATTAATAACTTTTTAATGTCTTTTTTTTACAAAAATATTATAATTTTTTTCATTAAGTCACTGTTTGAATAAAAATTTAAGGCATCAAATTGTTGTTTATATTTGTCACATTATCTATAATTTATATTTTAAATTAATAATATAATGTTTAAATATATATAAACCTCCCTGAAAGTAATTCTGGCAGCAGCTATATCCGTATTTAGACGTCATATTTTTACAAAATTTAGAAGTACATCTCTACATGTTTGATTACAAAATTCACTGAATAGATAATAACTATTCCATAATTTCTTAGTAAATACATAACAATTATAATTATTTACGTGACAGTTGTTAAAAGATAGTTGTCATGAATAAACAAACAATAAATAGACGAGCTTTCGATTCGTGAGATGCATACGTAAATAGGATCACGCCGGGGTGAAAGGTCAAGACGACGTTGGTTCGGCTCTATCTACGTCAACTCTTGTCCTCAAATTGGCTTCAAACAGTTTCTCTATTCTAATTTATGCCATATGAAAATCCAATGATTCGTTCTATGAAATATTATATAAATATAAATAGTATAAATGTATATAAATATTTATATATAATATAGTTTTTTTTTAAACACAGTAGACAAAAGAACATGCGGCTTAACTGTAAGTTATTACCGTAGCCTATGAACGCCTGCAATAACCTGCCTTGCCTGTAAAAACCTCTTTATCCCTTTTTTGAAGAACCCCATACTGTAATCTTTACATTCTATACTTATATCTTCTATCGCCGCCCATGTGCACACCATTATGTATTTTATATTAAACTACAAGCGTCGCGTAAACTAATTCCTTTAAACGCAAAAGACATTATACTCCCATATTTTTTTGTACCATTGAGTTGGCAAAGAAGCATACAGCGCACCTGATGATCAGCATTTACCGTAGCCTATAAACGCCTGCAACACCAAGGGCATTACTTGCACGTTGCCGACCCTAAAAAATACCTCTTTATCCTTTTTTTTGAAAAATCTTATGTTGGAATCATAAAGATTATTCTGTAGTTATATTTTTTAATTATTACTTGATTACCCTGACAATTTCCAACAAACGTTAGGAGCATACTTTCCGTATTACATTGTTGCATAGACGTAAAATAACCCCGGCTTACCTCATAAAATAACAGTATGCGCTTCCGAAAGCTGATAACATGCAATAAGCGTCTATACCGGAGATAAACGTAATAATATACGGCTCAATGCAAGGCCAGAGGTCGGCATGACACGGACCCAGTGGGATGCGCACAGTTTCTCTGCCCTTTAGACACGTTTCTCTGAGGCATGACGACAGTGAAAGTCCTTGCTTCCGACCCCACTATCGCTTTTAACTACCTGATCGGCAACTATTTGATGCACGTGGGAACATTGAAAGGGAAACAGTGAATAATCATTGGGAAACAAGTTTAGGTAGAACGTCACGATTCTCTTGCTGTGAGAAATGGCTGTAGCGGCATATTATTTTGTTATGCCATTAATTTATTTATAAATAAAAATGTTTTGTTCGAGATAACTTTTTTCGAAATTACTTTCGTATAGTCGTTTTACTAGCTGATATCTATGCCCAACCGTGGGTTATTAATGTGTTTTTGGCACATTGCTCTGATATATTTTTGTTTTCTCAAGTAAACAAAATAAGTAATATGAATGACGTAATATGAATGAATCACCAGAGGGAGACTTTGTACAAAAGTCGATTGCTTGGGTACCTCTGTCCCATTCGTGTTTTAACCGTGAATTAATCATATGAGAGAGGGAGACTTTGTACAAAAGTCGATTGCTTGGGTACCTCTGTCCCATTCGTGTTTTAACCGTGAAGCAGTTGTGTTTGCATGGCTGTGTTTCGATTTGAAGGGTGGGATATGGCGTGAATTTACTGGGTACAGAGGAATAACACCTGAGTCCTCAGGAATGGCAACGCATGGGGGGTATCATGGGCGAAACAGTATAGTCTGTTATGTCCATGGTACTGCTCATGTCTATAGGCGACCACAGTTAGTCCATCAGGTGGGCCGTCAGCTTGTTTGCCATTTTAAGTTGTA